TATATAGGGTTTGGTACTATCCAGTTTCAGGCATCCACTGGGGGTCTAGGAACATATTCCCCATGGATAAGGGGGGACTACTGTATTTTATTTATTTATATTAATGAATATTCATTAATATTTACTAAGTATTTCATGTGCACTGAACCTTGTGTCAGGAGTTGACAGCAGGAAAACAGACAAACAAATTTATTCAATAAAGTATTCTTATTACATTTTATCAGTGACTTGCACAACAATATGTTTGCTTATCAACTCTACACATGACAGAAAGCAGGAAGGAATAGACAATACGACGGATAACAAAAATTCAAAATAAAAAAGATTCTGACCACCTGGAATGACAGGCCTATTTTAACAAAATTAAAAATTTCAGATAAATATAGTCATAAATCTTAGTCAAAACAAAACAAAACAAAACCCACAATTGGACAATAATGCAGTCTGATACACTGGACGTAGTATAAAAGACGGAGGGGCACAGCTCCATAAGCTAGAGAGACTCAAGTTCAAACCCAACCTATGCTACTTCTAGCTACACAACCTTGGGCAAGACGTTAACTTCTCTGATCCCCTGTAAGATAGGCCACCATGTACTGTACAGAATTATTGTGAGGATTCAATTAGAAAATGAATGCATCTGACATAGGAAGTACTCAAAAGTAGACTACTGTCAACAAAACATGTGCCGAAGGCACTGGAGTTTCCATCTAGTTATTCCTAGTAGCAGTCCCCATGCTATATTTCAGGATTCAAAGGTAAAAAAGCTATGGTCCTTACCTTTAAGGATCTAACAATTTTGAGGGTTAGACAAACTTGGAGTGACAGTACAATTTGTGGGTAAATCCAATACAGTACAGTGGGGTAAGTGTTTGAACCGGGTGTTATGTGAGGAGGAAGGAGAGATATTTAAAATAGACTGAAGGAGCAGGAATTTGTATTTTAATGGTCTATATTTTTAAATAAGGCACCCCAGCACCAGTGAGGGCTAGACTGCTGAGGCTGGGCAACCGGTTCAAAGGCTGTGCAGGAATATAGAGAGGAAGTGAGAAGAGCCAGAATTAAGGCAGTGGGAGAGGAAATGGAGGGAGAAGACATGTCAGGAGACATCAAGGAATTAGAATCTGTAGAAGCTGAAAACTGCCTGGGCTGGGAGGAAGAGAGGGAGGGATGGTATGAGAGGGAAAAGTCCACAAGGACTTCCAGGGTTCTGTTTGGAATGATTAAATGGAATTTTTTGTGTGACTAAAGAATGAAGAAAGAATCAAAGGTTTGGAGGGGAGATGCTGAGCTTAGTTTTGAACTTGTTGCGTTTGAGGGCTGCCATTCAAGAGAAATCCAGGCTCAAGATACAAAACAGTGGTCATTGGGACACAAATGTGAGTTGAAACTGTGGACGAGAAGAGCAGAGTAGAAGGCAGAACCTTGGAGAAAACAAGCACTTAAGGGACAAAAGGAGCAAGAGTCCACAATGGAAACTGAAGGGAAAATGGCTAGACAGTACATAGCAGAAGTGGTTTTCATATATGAAGGTATATCAGCAATATCAGATGTGCTGAGAATGCACAAAGATAAGGAAAAGTGTTCAGGAGTTCTGGCAACATCGAGGTCTGATGACTAGGGAGACTCAAAGGCATTGTTGGGAAGTGGGAGAAGGATGAAAATATGAAAGACAAAGAGGAGATGGCCAAGAAAGCTGCTGATGCACACATGGAAAGCACTGAGCAACGCTGAGAGCCAATAGCACAACAGTGTCAAGAGCATGTGTTTGTAATGAAGCAGGAAGGGGCTTTAGGTTTCCATAAGAAAAGAATCTGCTCTGTATGGTCAGACTCCTAGAGGAAAGAGGACTTCTTTTCTACACTGCACATTTAGAGAGACTTTCAAACAGGAACAAGGTCAGAGGAGGGTAAATCACCCAAAGGTGATTACCCTGGGGCTGGACTGAGACTGAGTGAACAGGCTGGTACCCACTCTGCCAAGACCATGAAGATGCATACTGTCTACCTTCTAACAAAGGAGCACCTATTTATTTTCCCTTGAATACACAATCTGGCCTCATTTACCCTGGAGAAAGGTGGGAGGATTGGGAGACAAGAGGTGAGGAGGAAGGCATTCATGAACTTCACTTCCACGTGTAAAATTAAAAGACAGACACCGCTTTGACTTCCAAATAAAATCTTAGAGGTCAGGGATAATTAATCAGAAACCACTTTTCAAAGAACATTATTATTATTTACCTCCACACAGAGGATTCATTCCCCCACAAGAGCCCCCAATATCCTGATTCCTGTCTCCCTCCTCTCCTGTGTAAGGTCATCCAATCAGTTACCAGTCCAGCAAATCCTACTTCTCTTATTTCTCAAATCCGGCCACCCTATTCCCTCCCATAGCCACTGCCTTGGTCTAGGCCTCCCTCCTCTGTCACCTAGACCATGGCAACAGCGCCCTGACTGGTCTCCTGCTGGTCCTGCCCTTTCCGGTATATAACTACCACAATGCCACCTGAGTAATTTAAAATAGGTGAGACCATGTCACACCCTGTTTAAAATTCTTCAGTGCCCCATTTTCCACCACCACACTTTCAAAATAAAGTTGGAACTTAGCATGGCAATATTAACTGCTCTAGTTTATTGTTTACCATCTACTAGTGCCAAGTGGGTAACATATAGCAATCTCATTCAATTCTCACAGCAACCCTGAGAAGTAGGCATATATTTTCTCCTTTTATAGATGAAGAAACTGAAGCTTAGAAAGAGAGTGACTCGCCCAAGTTTACAAAATTAGTTCAAGTGGCAAAGCTACTGTCGGCACAAGTATCTTAAATTCCAAAGTCTGTGTTCTTAAGATGCTGTTGTCCACCAGAGCCTTTATGATCTGCCTCCTGCTTACCTTTCCACAGTTACTTCTTACCCTACAATTCTAAACTCCAACTGGTAGGCAATCCATTGTTGCCCACAGCCCTTTGCTCACGCCACTCTCAATATCTGCAAAATTATCATATCTCCCCCTCCTCTTCCCGACTAATCTTGCTCATCCTCTAGGACTTAGATAAAGCAACACCTCCTTACAGAAGCCTTCTCTATGCCTAGCTTGACTTATGAGCACCCTAAGTCCTTTTCTAGCAAACTTCTACAATAACTTCATACCAGTGTTGTTGTCTAGCTCCCTGGCTTAAAAAAAAATAAAAACTAGTTCCTTGAGCACAGGATGTGTATCTTTCTCATTTTGGTATTTCCAGCTTGCAGAGCAGTGCCAAGCACACAGCAAAAGCTCAATAAATATTTATGCTTATTCTCTATTATAAGAGGCTGGCTTGCAACAGAAAAAATGACCTGTGGTTGAATGAGAGCCCTGCACTCAACTTCTTAAAGGATTTCAAAATCATGTCACATGAGTGGCAGGGAGGAATTGGTCAAAAAAAAATGGAGAAGGAAGGAGAAATGTTCAAGGCAGCAAAAGTACCAGGAGACAAGGGCTATAGGTGAAACACAACCTGTAAGCAGTTTAACAAGAGTAGAGTCAGAGATGGAGGATGTAGAAATAATTAGGCAAGATGTGCCTTCACAAATATGGCATTTTCTTCAATCAGGTGTCAGCTATTAGCTAAAATGTCACCTCCACAGAGAAGTCATCCACCTTGAGCAGCAAACTCTGAAAATGGCTTCCTCTGTTCCCCACCCTAGACACACATGCACACCCACCCCCTTACTCTCCATCCTACTACTGTTCTTTTTTTGTAACATCTATTGAGATCTGAAATACCTACCACCCATTAAAAGTATTGTATTATTGACAATCACAACTGCTGCCACCATGATCAAAAAGTGGGCTCCATGAAACAGGGTTCTTTTTTGCCTTATTTTACTGCTACATCATCAGTGTTTACAGTAACTCCCGGCACATAACAAAATTCTCTATTGTTGTTTACTATGGTTAAATGTATTAAATGTGCTTAGCTTGGAGAAGAAAAAGTGGAAAGAGGAAGACAAACTATCAGATCTCAAGGTTGTGTGGGCAATAAACTGAAGTGAGATCCTTAAAAGCCTGAAGGAGGGACAATGAGCTGAAATTACTGGGACCGCTTTCAGCTCAACATATGACTTTTTAAGAGTGAGAGATAGGGGAAGACCGAACAGGAGTAATCAGAAGTAGCAAGCTTTCTGTCACTTAAGAAATCTAACCAGCGAGCAGGGGTGTCATAGAAGAAATTCGAGTATTCAATGGGAAAGGGAGCCTATGACCCAGGGATCCCAAACTGGCAACCACAGATATGCCTGATTTCAGTTGCACCGAGTTAAAAAAAAAAAAATTTAAATTAGTTGCTAGTTTAAAAATCTGTGTTAGTCGCCGGGGTTAAAAATTAAGAGACTGCGCGCGCACACACACGCTCTGGAGTTTTGGTTTCATTTCTCGAATATCACAAATGTTAGAATTGTGCTCATAAAACTCAATTCAGTAAAAATAAAAGTTTGACTATTTCTGACAGCAATTTTCTTACACCGACTTTTACCTTACCTAACTGATTAAACATAAACATTTGCAACCCTAGGAGCAAACCGAGGAATCAAGAACCTTAGCTCAGAAGAGCCCTTAAAATTGACTTAACATCCTCGCTTCACAAATGCGTTATTATCATCCCCATTTTACAGATGAAGAGAGGCTCAAAAAGGGGAGTGACGTGCCAGAGTCACACAGCAAATCCTGGCAAAGCCAGGATGAGTACCCTGGCATCCTATCTCCCGTGTTCCAACACCAGAGATTCTAAGTGCTCCCTGCCAGAGGACTGGAAACACTGAGAAAATTAGAACAAGCTTCTTAGCCTGAAGACCCCGGGCTGAAGCAGTCCGAGGCGAAGTGGCTGGAGGGACTCCCTGAGGAATGAATCCTGAGACCCTCTGTGACCCTTGCCCTCATCGCCGAGCTCGCCACTTTCCTCCAGGCCTCCAAAACCAAACCCGTAGGACCCCAGTACTCCCTCACCAGCGCGGCTGACTTACCGCAGCTCAACTTCCGGCAACCACAACGTCGTCCGCTGAGCGCGCCCCGATGACGCAACGTGCACCCGCCCCAGTCTGGAGGAGTTAGTCGAGCGCATGCGCATACGGAACTGCGGGCCCAGCCTTGTAAATGAGCCCCTAGCACCCGACTGAGTGGGAGGAACTTAAGTCGTGGGGAAGGCGGGGCATCGGGAGTTGGGCAAGGCCCCCTGTTGAGAGCTGTTCTAGAGAGACTTTCTCTTATCAAGTGCGGGAATGTGCATATGCCTTTCAGGCTTTTAAAAAAGTGCTCCACATTCTCTTGATTTCAGAGGATGACAGGAATGATCATCATTTCCATTTTCCAGGAGAGACAGCATCAAACTTATCTGAGGGGCTATTAGGTAAGTGTGGAGAGACAGAAGATGAAAATTTTAATAGGTAAAGGTTGATGAAAGTCGACAGTCTAAACCAAGCATTATTCTCATAGCTCCCCCCTACTAATGGGATAAAATTATTCAGCTAAATTATTTATTGAGCATATACTATATATGTGCCAGCATTGGACAGGTGTTGAATACAATAATCTTAACCTAATATATATAGCCATTCACAAAGTACTCTGATGTAACTCTATAGACTCATAATAACAAGAGTGATGAATATAATCTACCGTGTTTTCAGAGTTTCACATCTTTAATTGTCACAAAAATTCTGCAAAGTAGGTGTTATATTATCTCTATTTTACATATGACAGAATGAAGACTAGGAAAAATCAAGGGGCTTGCTGAAGGATAAAGAACTTTTGGGCCAGGATTCTATCAAAGCCTGTCTGACTTAGTAAGGAGATACTTATTTGAAAAGATTCTTATATAGTGTAGGGTAGAGAGGAGAGACTATTGCAGTAGGGGGGGAGAATATTGCAACAGGGAGACCATTCTGACCAAAAGATCTGCAAATGTCTCAAGGGTTACACAAAAAGAGTTTCTTCTGAAGAGAAGAGTGAGGAAGGCTAGAAGGAACTGAGTGTGGGAAAGTAGGAGAAAAAGGTGTCTTAATTGGGTAGTAGTAAATTAAAGAATATTTTATCTTGAGGCCAGCCTGTTCTCAGGAAGGGTTGTATTCTGGCTCAGCATGTGTGAGCATCAAAATTAAAGAGCCTGGGGAATGAGAGAAACTTAACTAAAGTTAATTAATAGGCGTTTTGTTTGATCAGTGGAGACAAGAACTTCAGCTAATAATTTACAAGGCAAAGAACAAACTTCAGGACTGTGTCTGGCCTTACCACATAAACAGGTAAATCCATGAGTCTTATAAAGTCATATGAGAATTGATATTTCTTTGCAGTAAACCATTTCTGAAGCACAAAAGTGTGTGTTGGGGGCAGGGAATTTAATCATTGCTGTTTTTCAAGAGCACAGGGCTCAAGTAAAATTCAACGTTGTCAACTCTTTCCACTATCAGGCTCTTCCCCTGCCACAGCCTCCTCAAACTGATACCAAATTAATTCTGGCATTTTAAGCACGCTCTGCTCATTTATCTTTCCATCTGCAATATCTTTTCTTCCTTTGCTTGGCTAACCCTTTTTCCATCTTCAAAATCCAGTTGAAATGTTGATGAATCTTTGACAAACTGTTGATAGAAAGAGTACATATTATATGATTCCACTTATGTAAGGTTCTAGAATCAGCAAAACTAATCTATAGTGTTAGAAGTCAGATTGGTGGTTGCTTGGGGCATAAAGGTAGGCATTGTCTGCAAAGGGGCATGAAGAACTTTCTGGGGTGATAGAAATGTTCTATCTTGATTGAGATGGGGATGACATGGGTGGACATTTGTCAAAACTCATTGAATTCTATATTTTAAATGGGTGCATTTTACTGTATAAATTAAATGTAATAAATTTGATTTTTAAAAAACCAGTAGAGATGTCACCTATGTGAAAGCATGCCTGACACCCACCACCTCTAGGCTTTACTCTATTTAGCGTATATGAGGCTAACATATATGAAGTTAGTTCTTTATAAGCTTGTTACCCCTGCTGGACTTCGAGATCCTTGTAATTAACACCTTTTGGAGTTTCTGCCTAGCTCAAAATGTTTCCTACTTCTCTGGGAACTGCTTGCCCTCCAGCCATATTTGTACTACATGTGCCACCTTGCCTTCCCCCGCTCCCCTCCCCCGCCGGGCCACCTCCCTTCAGAGTCGAAAGAAGATGAGGTGGACACAGGACAATTCTTTACCGTGAGCTTTGGATATTTTAACTGATGCTCATAGAGTATAGAAATAGGAATAAGTCACAAAGGTCAATGGCAGTTTTCTAGAGGGACCTTCCTAGAATCGTGACTGCTGAGGTTCCTGTGGCTGACTTGGCTCAAGTCCTTCCCAAGGCAAGGTCATCCAAAATGTTACTGGATTCCGCAAAACACCCCAGTAGCCATTCATAAAACTGGCTTCATTCACTTGTAGCCTTGAAGTAGCTCCATAGGATTGAAACCATGTCTGCCTTGTTTTCCATTGTCTCCTAATGCCTGGCCCAAGGACTGGCCCAAGATATAAAGAGCATTCAAAAAGTTTTTGTTAAAATAACAGATAAGGTCTGGGCATCCAAAATAGATTGTCACTCAGATCACAAATTGCGGCCTTGTTGTTAGCAGGAGTTAGGGTGAGGCTCAGATCTGCCCTGCTGTCCAGGATGGGGAGACAGACCTTTCGGGCACCAAGATGGTGGAGCATCAAGAACAAAGCATGACCAGGAGCCATAAAAAGTCAGAAAATATTCTCAGACACAAAAGAGCAATAAGACCATTCGAGATACAGTGATTCAGGTCAATCTACCTTCATCACTTGTCTTGCAGCTCAGTTGAGGAGAGCACACACTCCCAATAATGGATATCATATGCCACACAACCTAGGCTTCGAAAGTCCAAGAAATTGTAGAGTGACATATTAGCAAGTTAGATCTTAACAGCATTGTCTCTTCACAGCACTCAGAGTGTGTTGCAGCCAGGAGAGCCCCAGAATCTTTTTGCCCTGTGTTAAGACTATTAAATCTGCCTCCTGGAAGGCCCATCTTCAAAAGAGTGACTGGCGATATTCTGCAAGCCAAGTAGCCAAATGACCAATTCATCGAATAGTCAATCTGCAGACTTGTGGATTTTCTGAATGAACTTTGCTAACATTAACAACTTCAAAGGTTTATAGCAATTTCTATTGGATAGAGTGGCTTCACAAGCTTTTAAAAATTTATGTGATGTGGTCGTTGACTGGTTTTCATGTTGTCTTCTGAGAAGCATTTGAAGGAATTTTCTATTTATCGAAAGCTAAGGATGGTTTATTTTTCCTTTGAATAAATTTAACATGAATAAGTTAATGAAGAATGTTACTGAATATAGATTTTTCTTGAGTGTATTATTATTGCCACTCCTTCACAAGCTTTTAAAAATTTATGTGATGTGGTCGTTGACTGGTTTTCATGTTGTCTTCTGAGAAGCATTTGAAGGAATTTTCTATTTATCGAAAGCTAAGGATGGTTTATTTTTCCTTTGAATAAATTTAACATGAATAAGTTAATGAAGAATGTTACTGAATATAGATTTTTCTTGAGTGTATTATTATTGCCACTCTACTTTTCCTTTTCTATCTCTCTTCATTCCACA